GGGGCTGCGCTGCAGGGAGCGGGGCGGGGGGCAGCAGGGGGCTCTGCCCAGGCAGTCAGGGCTCCCCATTGCCCCAGGGCAGCGCTAGGGGTTGTGCTGGGAGCAGCGGTACCCCAGGCCAGAGGAGATGGAGGGGGCGTCTCACACACTGACTGTGGAACAGGGCCTGGTTCTGATCTTGCTGCCGGGGATCCCCCTCCCGCGCTGCCCCCGCTCCCTGACTCATTCTTCCCTCATTGGCTCCGGGCTGGCAGCTGCGGGGACAGAGCTGAGCAGAGACAGACAAAGAGAGAAGTGGGCAGAGAGGCGTGTGCCCTGGGTAGGAACGTACAGCATGTGGGCGACCCCGGACCCCTTGTCCGGCTGCCCTGACACCTGCCACAGCCCGGATCCCCCTTCCTCTGCCAGGATGCTGCTCCCTCTGCTGCTCCTCCCCTGGGCATGGGGGGCCCTGGCCGGTAAGTGCGGACCCCCTTCCCTGCCCTTTTTCCTACTGGGGGGGATGTGGATGGTGTAATACTAATTCCAGGGTGGGGCAGCACCACGCTGGGCTAGTGACCCTTCCTGGGGTGAAGGAGGAGGGGGGAGGCGGTTTAGGAGTCTGCAGGGATATCCTGGAGCCCGGGAGACTCATTAATCTCTCTCCCCACCCGCTTTGTTCTCCACTTGTTTCCTGACGCCTCCCCCCAGCCTCCCCTCATCTCCCCCCAGCATCTCTCACCCTCCGGGTGCTTAAAACCACCGTCTTCCACAACGCCAGCTCCACGGACATGCAGGGGATGGCCCTGCTGGGCGACCTGGAGACCCACTCCATGGACTGCAGCACCTGCGAGATCCGCTTCCTGCAGCCCTGGGCCCAGCAGGGCCTGACCCCGAAGCAGTGGCAGGACCTGGAGCTGCTGATCCATTGCTACCTGTCTGACTTCTTCCGTCTGGTGAACAAAGTGGTTAAGGATCAAGGAGAGGGCTGTGAGTATGGAGCAGTCTGAGGGCATCCCTCCCACTACCCGCCAGACAGCTGAGAACTGACACACTCCCCACAGCGATTGAGTGTATCCTGGCAGGGTGGAAGGAGGGCAAAACAGTCAGTCCCTGGCCCTGAGGCTGATTGAAGCCAACATTCCCTAGAAGGGAAACACCCCTTGTTCCATTCTCTACCCCACTGAGCCAGTCCTCCGGCTCTGGGGCCAGATTGTAGCCTGTGTGCCCTAAAGGGGAAAGGCCCGGTGTCCCAGCCCTGACCCTAGGCCAGAGTGCCGGGGGGAGGGCGGCGAGCCCCGGCTGGGGGGAGGGCGGCCGGAGCCTTGGGAGGAGGGCGAAGTGCCCGGCCGGAGCTCCGCTCTCCCCGGCAGCCATAGCGCTTGTCTATTTCTGCCCCCCCATGGTGACCTCCAGATGCCCGTCCTCATCCCCCCTGCCCTTCCAGCAGGTTTAAAACAAATACAAGGAAGTTCTTCTTCACGCAGCGCACAGTCAACTTGTGGAACTCCTTACCTGAGGCGGTTGTGAAGGCTAGGACTATAACAGCGTTTAAAAGAGAACAGGATAAATTCATGATGGTTAAGTCCATTAATGGCTGTTAGCCAGGATCGGTAAGAAATGGTGTCCCTAGCTTCTGTTTGTCAGAGGGTGGAGATGGATGGCAGGAGAGAGATCACTTGATCATTGCCTGTTGGTCCACTCCCTCTGGGGCACCTGGCATTGGCCACTGTCAGTAGACAGGATACTGGGCTAGATGGACCTTTGGTCTGACCCGGTACAGCCGTTCTTATGTTCTTATGTCCCTGTTCCAGACCCCTTTGTTACCCAGGTCTCCTTTAGCTGCAAGCTCCACCCCAATGGCACCTTGATAAGCTTCTGTGACGCTGCAGTGAACGGCGAGGACTTCATCAGCTTCGACATGGACACAGGCAAATGGGTCAGTCGGCACAGGGATAAGCTGGGGAGCTACGTCCAGGATCTTGTCAACCAGGATAAGAGCATTTCCACCCTGTTTCCGTTCCTCCAGAGAACAATGTGTGTCTATGGGATCGATACCTTTGCCCAGTACGGGAGAGAGTCTCTGGAGAGGCAAGGTGAGGCTGGTCACCACTCCCGGCTCGCTGAGATGCAGCCACCTCTGGGGTGGGGCACAGGGGCTGTTGGTACAGCGACCCTTGCCTGGAGTACAAATGCAGCTATATCTAGGGTGGAGCAGAGTAGCCATTTCACAGCCGCACTGCACAGCAGTTTAAGACAGGAAGTGAAGGGGGATTCCTTCAGGAATGGTAACTGCGGTATTGGGGTCTGGCCAGGACAGTGGGGCCTACGCCTGACCCCGGGGAATGGCGCTGGGCTTGGCTAGTGAGTCCCTGAGGCTCAGGCTGAATCGTCCCCTCTCCCCCGCCCCGTC